AACTTAAAGAGGACTAACAATTTTACTAATATCTTGTTATGAAATGACCTTGTGGGGAGTAGTGGCCGTGGTACATTTCTGGGCTATTGTTAATTTTAAAAGTCTAGTTTACATGGATACCATCTGTGTTTGAATGCTTGTGCTTCTAAGGCTCTTGTTCTCTGGTTGTTTTTGCTCAATGAAGTTTGTAGGATGAAATTGTTACACACATGCACACACTGTTGGGCAGTGCATGGTTATATTTATGGGACTTGGATCAAACCACTGGTGAGGATTTCCAGTTAAATTTGCGCAGACAATAAAGTTAAGCATTCAAAGATTTGGAGCCCACTGCCTTGCCCTCATTCAAATGTTTCAGATTCTGGGTTGGCATGTTTGAATGGTTTTGCACGAATACATATCCAGTCTGATGTTGTATGGTTTTATAACTAGGGAACTACCTTGGCAAGTCCTCCAACTCTTTGGCTTAACTCACTTGCCATGAACCAGCGAGCCAAGGCTTCTGTTTATAATGTTAATTTGTAGTTCTGGTCTGGCTTCGAGTTTAAGAGAACATGGTACCAACCAGGCTACTTGGCAAATGCATTAGTGGTTGATTTTGGCGGGCCTTTTATTTAAATTTTGAAGATTAGCTTAAAGCTTTAATTATGAGGGTCAGCAATTACTGCAAATTGAAAATGGTTTTGAGTTGTAGCAAGAAAATTAGTCCTTCGGGAAGTAGACAGGATGATTGAGGTGAGTAGATGTTTACTTTTTTTAGATCCTAAATCCTTGCCATATACTGGTTTTGCCAATTATCTATGTCACAACTCTGTGTAGATGCTTATGTTTATTGGGGCGGTTATGTAGTTTTGTAGATTTCTGAAAACTACAGATATTCACTGAAATTGTTTAATCAAGCTAAATTAGGTTAAATTCGTGTAAAAAAGGTACTAGCACAGCCATGTAGCTACTACAAGTAAAGGACTTGAGCTACCAGATACAATATTTGGGTGATGCCTTTCCCAAACAAAAATTTGGTAGGTTTGAAGGTGATTAGTGTGAGCTGTGGCATCATCTCGTTCATGTGAGTGTCTCTGCATGTCGCAGTCTCGTGTCTTGGAACATGTTGCCACAGATCAGGAAGGTAGGAAAAGAGGAGAGAGTAGCAGAATTGCATTGGAAAAGAGAAAAGCGGCTAAAATGGGTTCCTTTTAAGGTGTACCATGGGCTTGGTTGGTTGCTTTAAAATGTGAAGTGTTCGGTCGATTCTTACTTCACAATATTTTTGTTATGCAGTGTCCTAGTCACTGTTTCTTTCTGCTGCAATTGAAGAGCCATTGTCATATTCTCTCTCTCTCTCTCTGTGCAACTATAATATTCTTTTCTTTCAAATATTAACAATATTCATATAAAACAGAAGAAATTAAAAGAAGATGGGGCACTGTTGTGCCTGTCACAGTTTTAGTTTAGGCAGATGCATCTGGTGTCGACAGTTTATAGGCAAACCAAGACGTTTGATAAAATACTTGATCATGGTCATAACGAGTCATCACCGTCCAATCAATAAGATTAACGATGAAGAATGGGTCCCCAAAAACATTTCAATATTTCAGTTGCACATACACCCTGTCATTCAACCTTGCGACCATACTGTCATGATGATCATATGCACATTGTGGAACGTATTTTCCCTTGACTACATTGTGCATCGAGCTCATATGGGATGCATATATTATGTGAGATTTCTCAGTGAGGAAAAGCACGGTATTGTCTATAAGTAGAATGAGGCATGCTATTGAATCATGACATGTTGATTATTGAATTAATGATAGTCGACTCCAAATAATTGGAAAAAATCTCTGATGATGATTATTGAATTCATGACAAAATTGATGACCCTTGTGACTAACCTACCATACTGTTATGATACCTGTATGGTGGGGATCATGGTGACCATATGGATCATACTATACTTTTCCGGTCGTAACAGTCGAGACCGCACTTGCTCTACTGATCCCTGCTTTTTTTCATCACTCATATTTAGCAACGAAGTTTGTTTTAAGAGTTTTTTAGGCATCTAAACTTTGTGCAACCAAAATTTCTCGGGATTATTATTTGGTTTATAAAATCTTGAGAAGGATTTCCACCTGATTAATCCAAAATCACAATAAGTTCTTTTATTAATGCTAGATTGAGAAAGATATACAGGAAAATAAGAAACACAACATTCTGCAATTTTTTTTTTTTTTGAGAATGACACAACTCTGCAACTTCTGCAAACCTTTTTTTTTTTAGCAAACGTTTCTTTCAAATGAAGTTTTCCAACGTATCTTTTCATTCGAAGTTTTCAAATGAAGTGTGCCAAAATACCTTCTTCATGTGTGACCCAATACTTTTTCTCAAAATGTATTGAGTCATGACATAAAATCTAAAAAAAAATTATTTTGGAGCAATTTCGCATATTTGACATTTCTTAAAGGAATTTCATTTGAGATATGAAAATACCTGAGTTAATTATTTGGGAGCAATTTCCTATATTGGACATCTTCTTGAAGCAATTTCATTTGAGATATAAAAATACCCGAGTTAAATTATTTAACGGCTCGATCTAGTTTCAAATGGGCCTATCATGAAAAGGGTTTTATTTATCTGATGTCTTCAAGAAGATCAGACTCATAGAAGTGTTAAAAATTGATGGACGGTGAGATGTTAAATAGTTGATCTCTTAGTAGTGATTTGATAAATTCTCATTTTATTTAGGGCAAGTTTAAGGTCCTTTTTTTGTGTGAAACTAATTTTATTTACATTAATGAATGATATAATTGAAAATATATAAACAATAAAATAGTTAATTGTAAATACAAATTTAAAAATAAAATATTTAACTGTAAATACAAATTATGAAGGTAAATAATATAATTAATATTATTTTTAGAAAAATAATTACCTTAAAACGTGATTTATAAATAGAATTATAATCATATTTTGAAATTCTATTATCTAAAAGAAGCTCATATGTGAAGATAGATCAATCAAATTCTCTATCTTTCTACACACTACAATCCGATATGTTTTTTTGAAAATATTCTTTTAAATTGAAAATTTATTTCAATGATTAATATTTATAATACATGCAACACATGCATATTACTAATATATATATATATATATATATATGAGCCGACTTGCTCATATGAACATATGAGCCTAACAGTTTAGATAGACTCTGGGTCAATCTGACGTTCACGATTGCATTTCATATTTTAATTTTAATTTTAATTTTTTTTATATAAATCTAGATAACTTGAAATTTTAGACGTCAATTTTTCTCATCAAAATGTACCTAATAAAAATATTTTAAAAATAATTTGTAAAAAATAAATTGATTAAAATACCTCTTAAGTGTTTTAAGAGTATTTTGATCAATTTATTTTTTGTAAATTATTTTTTTGAAACTTTTATTAGATTTTTATATTTTTGAAGAATACAAGTGTAAAATTTCATATTATTTAGATTTGTAGAAAAAAAATTAAAATTAAAATATGAAATGAAATCGTCATCATCAAATCGATTCATATTCAATCGAGATCGTTGAGCTTGTCCAAGAAGATAAAAAGAGAGAGAACGATGCCCCTGGTTCAACGAAGATAGAGAGAGAGAACAATGCCCCTGGTTCAGCGAAGATAAGAGAGAGGTAGAAAAAGAGGGAGGGTGCAGCAAACATAGAGAGAGAGAGGTAGAGAAACATAGAGGGTAAAAAGGTTTTTTTTCGAATGGCTTTTGGGTAACCGCGGGAAGCCGATTGCACCGTCGATTTTACTTCTAAACAACTACACTGTTGGACGCCAATGGACGTATACGAGTTTTTTTCTATATATATATATATATATATATATATATATAGTAGGGGAAGTATTTATTATTTCCTATATATAAAACTATGTCTTCTTGTACTAAATTTAGTAGTACGGAGACGACCACTACACCTATTGATACT